CTTGTTTTGTGATTCTGGAGAAACTTTGTTCAATAGTAACAAATTAAAACTGAGGTTTACCTACCTTTAGTCCTTCTGACGTCTGGGTCCGGTTTCCATCGATGTATGTCTTTATTGCACACGGTTCGACATATTTCTACATATTCACGTGCAGTGGATGTATATCTATATTTCAAAGTTGCTATTTTCTCATCCCAGACACTAGTGTTGTTTTTATAATCTGCATAAAATATTTCATCATCGTCCAAAGTCACGTAGAGCTGGGTGTCACTGGAGTCAAAACATCCATAGGTAAAACAAAGTTGGTGACCTCCTATAATAAAAAGATTAAGAGTGAAAATTAACATAAAAAAGTTAAACACACTGAAAAGAAACTTGGTGAAATTCTGTGAAATCAAGACAAAAAAATTCAATGATATGAAAATAAATCAAAGGGATGAATGTGGAACGACGTTCTTACTGTTATTTTTAGCCTTAATATGTGGCTTCCCTTGGTTTTTTATCATTGCATGTAAATGATAAATGTTTTTTTTGTTAGATGTTATAATAATATTTCAAGTAAATTTAAATTTTGTTTACAGAAAATATTAATAAAAAATTTTATATTGGCATTTTAACAGTTTTAGTTGTTACCTCCAGTAAGGCCACATTAAAATGAATGTACAAGTAATAAATCTTACTGCAAGTAAATATATAATAACATTATCAAGATAATACATCAGAAAAAGTTTGTTATATTTACTATATTTATTACCAAAATAACCATTTTAAATCACTATTTTCTGGACAATTGTGGGGCAATCAAATTATTTTTACAATTCAACACCTTTGTAATTACTGTTTGGTCAGTAAAACTGTTTACATGTTTACTTTATGTTTACGATTTTTTGTTTTACTGATTTATTCTAGCAACCACAGCAGCCAGTGCTTATTTTAAAAACACAAAACAGAGCAGGTAAAGCAACTGTATGCTGGTTACTTACCTGCAGCACCGACGAAACGTGTCCCAAATAAAAGCAGGAGAAGTACGGAGCTCAGATTGTTTAATCTCCAGTGGCGTCCCATCATGACTCTCAGTCGCTTTGTTCTAAACATGCAGTGAAAACGTGATTTCACCAGACGGACTCAGGTTCCTGCAGGCAAGAGCTTCCTCATTCCTGAGTGTGAACTGAAAACCTTTGGCTGAGGAGGAAGCTGGGTCAACAAAAGTCCCGTTGAACTATTCTGCGAAATGTCAAGAGAAATTTTGAAATTGTTCCAAGAGAAACTGTTTGTATTTCTGGGTAATTCATGCAGCATAAATTCACTGATTGTTTACTAAAGTATGAATTAAGTTTCTTGTTGAGATTCTGAAGTTTGAATTTTTTTTACATAGTTGAATTGAATGTAAAGTATTTTGAGAAAGTTTTTCTTTTTTTTTGGGTGAATTAGAATGAACTGGATTGAGTTGAATTTTTTAACCCAACATTTGTACACAACATATTATTTCTGTTTAGGGGGTGTTAAGTATATTTATTTACTTTAAAACATTTTGATTAATTTGTTTTGTTCGCATTTATTTGCTTCCTAATTCATAGTTCTTACATCTTGTACTTTAGGTATTTTTATATATTTAAATTCTAATTCTGTTTGTTGTGTTTAATTAATGTTTTTCTCTATACACCTTTAGTTTTACTGTTAAAAAATATCTGCTTTCTCTTGAGGTTTGATCTGCTTTCTGCCTGGTTCCTGTTATTCATGGGTCATTCTCATATTGTGTTATTTTCTGTTTCATGTTTAAATTTTTCTGGTTGCTGTGGTTTTCCTAACCTGGTTTTAAACCTTCCCCCTGTGCTGCACTTTGTTTCTTGCAGACGGTCTGGGCTCTTGGCTGTTGAGAAATGATTGCTTGCTGGAGGCATGAACTGTGTTGACGTTTTAAGTTTTTACCCAATTGTTAATGTTTGTCATATGACATATGTTATTAAACCCCAGTTTAATGCCATGAAGTTGGACTGCTCTGTCGTGACAGTATGAGACAGATAATCCGTGAAAAAAATTTAGCACCTCTGTTTTTTCCCTCTTCTGCAGAAATACACTGCNGCACCAGTGCCGGAAGGTGGGGGGGGGGGGGCATCGACTTCTTTGGGGGCAAACTGAAAATAGACACCAACATCGGTAGCATACAAGGTACTTGTTAAGCTTAAGGTTCTGTATTGATGTTAGCTAGTCATCTTTTAGCTAACATTAGCTAGTCATCTTTTAGCTAACATTACCTGCATCCAACAGCTTTACTCAATTAAGTCGGTTAGTTTGGAGGGAAAAACTGTGAAAAGTTCTTTGTGTTTTGTTGGTTTGCTGCCGTGATTCCAACACAAACCTACGTAGCTCCGCACAGCAGCAGCAGGTCTCCTTCACAGGTGTAAACCCAGCGCGAGCGTCGTAGCGCTCATGTTGTGTTTAAAGGCGGCTCGGAAAAACAGGTTACAACATGTTAACAACGGATTAAACAGTTTTAACTGCTGATAAAAGTGACAGAGGACACAAATATGGGAAGTGTGGAAGCCTCTACTGTATCAAATTGACAGGAATAACAGAGAGTTGGCCATTCTAAGGTAAAAACCCAGCGCATGCAGTATTCATGTTTTTTTTTTTTTCATCCAGACGGCTTCCCGCCCCCCCTGCAATGACATGGCGCCCCCCCTAGGGGGCGCGCTCCACAGTTTGGGAACCTCTGGTCTAAGCTGTCCTGCGGAGGCACATTTTTCTCTTTATTTGTAATGAAAGAATAATTGCTAAAGAAAATGTATGTATTTTTTGTTTTCCAAATAAGAATTGTTTTGCTATGGCAGATTTGTATTTGTATTTGCCTAAATAAAACAAGTTTTTAAGTTATTAAGAACAAAAGGCCTATATTTAATTTTTTTCCCCCAACTATATGTTGTATTTCTAGAGACATTTTTGAATTCACGTCAGGTTCTGGTAATACCCCCAAAAGGAGAACAAAAAACAATCCGTTCCTCCCACAGCGGGAATGAATTTGAGATGTCTATCAATGACGTGCTGCATTGTGCAACACGTCTGATTATTCCATAAGGTCAACTTGATTTGATAAAATACACTTGCTTTTGTAGTCTGGCGTATTATAGTTTATTCAAGTTATGTTTTTAAATCATTCTTAGTTTGTAGATAATATTTAATGATTTCTTTGAAATAGATTTGTCTGTTTTTTTGAGTCATTCTTGTCTCAATATCTCAGATCATCAAAGCATCATCACAGTGTTGTTTAGATCATTGGCCACATGGAGTCTTTTCTGCACAATAATTTATTGTGAGATTAAACAGATATACAGTTTCTTCACATTTTTTTACATTGTTGGCTTGAAAGCAGTTTTAAGAAGCAGTTTTTATAACAGTAGTGATGTACTGGTGACTATACTAGACATTTCCATCCATCCATTTTATCCATGTAGGGCTCCAGCTATGAGGTGACTATGACCATTGGTCACTGGGTGAATTATCATAACTATGGAAAAGTTAGAGAGCAAATAATCTTCCACAGTTTTTGTAGTGAGAGAGAAAGATGGAGCATGAAAGTGAGAACCAGTAAACTTCATGCAGGAATTGAACCAAGCAAATGTTTCCTGCAAGGCAGTAGTGGTACAAAATGTGCTACAGTGCTGCTCAATAAGTCATACAGAAAAAAAATAAAAACAAAAAATATCTTAATCATGTCCAGCTATAGAAAAGTCAAAAAAGCACCACACAAATAACAAATGTCTGTCAATAACTATAAGAAATATAAAATTTGTGCACTATTTCCTAGAATTAAAAGGCTCAGATACATTCACAGGTTGCATAAGTAGAGCATCTTGGAGGACTTTAGGGTTTTTTTTATTTGTTTTTGGTTGTTCTACTAAAAGGCAATCCAGGAATGACCTCCACAGGAATCAGAGCTCATTCTGTTAAAGGTAAAAGACATATTTCATTAATAAAAGACGTACCGTAACATTTTAGGTTTTTATGTAGTTTAGATTTTCTGATGTGTTTACATCTCCTCACCTTGGCGGATAGAGTTATATACAGCAGACTTTTTCCTGTGGTAAATAAATCCAGAGATAAAGATAACCAAACCAAGGATCAGTCCAGACAGTCCAACAATAATCTTATTTTTTTCTCCTTCAGGAAGTGAGTCGTCTGAAACAGGGGAAAAAAAAAAAACAGAGAGTAAACATTCATATATTGAATTATTTGCATGTCAAGTATCTGCATGACAATAACAAACTTACTCCAAACAATGATCCTTGGCTCCGACAGGGTGACGTGTTCAACCATGCAGCTGATTTTTTCTCCTGAAGTCGGTGTGTACTCAAGGTAAGAATGAAACTGGTAGTACAATTCTCCAACTGGGATGGCATCTGTGTTACTGACCCCTTCAGTCACTTCTTGGTCATTTCGCAGCCAGGTTATTTTAATTTGCTTTGGGTAAAAGTTATAGGCACTGCACACAAGCATGGCTGGATGTCGACCATCTGTCTGTTTCACTGATTTTAGCCTCATGGACGGCGTTGTTGACAGGTTTCCTAGAAAAAAACAGCGTATTATTTACGATTTTTTTTCACATTATTTATATATTTTTTTCAAGGATAACCCCTTGAGATGTATCGTCGCATTTTCAAGGTTTTTTATTTATTTTGTATATTTTCCATTGCATGATATCATGAACAAGTAAATGCGAACAAAAACATGAACATTTTCTAATGCACCTACACAGAAATTAACACAAAAGTTAATGACTCTATAATTGGAAAATTAAAATGTAAAAATATAACAGCAGTTATGTGTTTGTTGGCAAATGAGCATGTAAAACATCATAGTCTCAGTTCCATACTGTCACATCAAGTAATATGAAAACTGTGTTCATATTGTTAAAAAAAAATGCTCTTACCGATGGTTTGAATAAAATTGATGTTCTCGTAACACATTAGTCTCATTTCCACTAATCTTTCAAGGCGGTCCCAAGGGTCTCTGTTCCAGTAATATGAAGCCACAATTGAAAAATCAGTGAATCCAATCCAGTTTCCTCTTGTGCTGTTGTACTCCATCATCTTTTGCTTGTTAAAACTGGTTGTAAGTATGTATTCAACCTTGTCAAAGTTTGGACCATTGAATGAACAACATGCTTTGACTTGGTAAAAATCGTCTTCTGAAAAAACTGCAGAGAAATGAGAGAAATCAGTGAGCTTTAAATTAATTGTTCCCCGCCCCAAAAAAGCTAACTAAAACCTAAGTAAAAATAAAAATGTTCCAACTTACCTTGACTTTGAAGAGACAAGAACAAAGTAAAAAGAAAACTGTAAGCGTTCATGTTTCCTCAAGCTTTGTGAAGCACTGGTGTGCCTCTAATAACCGAGGGACACCTTCCTCAAAGCTGTGAAGCACACAGCTTTGAGGAAGTAAATGAAGCTATGCCACATACCAGCAAAAAAAAAACAAAACAAAAAAAAAAAAAAACAAAACCACACATTTCAGCAAAACTGACCATTGCTGGTCATTTTTGCTGAAATGACCAGCAATTATTTCAGCAAAAATCACTTTAATAAACAAGCAATGTTACTTTAATTAAAATACCTTTCTAATATTTTGCATTTCACCTCAGTCTATTGAAATCACTTTGTGCAGCGAAGCTTGCTGATGTCGTAGCTAGTGAGTTTGCTGATGTTTTGTGTTTCTGTTTTGTGCCTCAGTTAGTCTTGTCCTCATTTTCATTTGCTTTCATTCCTTTTCTGCTTATGTCCTCCTTTCTTTATTGAATTGTTAGTATGAAACTACTTAGTCAGGTGTTTAAAACTCTTATTGAATCCTCTTTATCTTTTTGCTCACAACAGTTGCAGTCATATAAATCATAAAAACACCAGACACATACAATATTTCCAGTGATGTGATACATGGTATAATTTAACAGTCAGCAGTGTCCATATAAAGACGTCTATGTGCAGCTAATGTTTAAGCTATGTAAAGTCTTACAGAGTGCTCCATTTGTACTGAAAAGTTTCAAATTTTGAGTTGTAAAACAGAAAATATGCAAGAGGTAAAGTCATTCCTCACCAAACAAAGTTTGTAAGGTTGCTACATGTGTAAACG